GGAACTGGAATGGCTTCTTGGTCCTAATTATGGATTAGATTACGGGATTCGGAAACCCACACGCTCTTGCAGAAGGAACCTGGTGGGTCACCGTTTGCTCATAATTTCGAACCGAAATAATTCCTTACTTCATGCTTCCAGGTCTTTATATGTGATCGTTCTCGTTATCCTATATCTAATTTCTCGTCAGCTAATTTAGCAGCAAGACATCTATAGCTCTCAATGTTAATCATTTCTAATTTTATCCTGCGGTATTACCACTAAAGTGCTCACACCAGGTTTTAATGGCGTTTCTTGTCCAGTGGTTAGTGTTGATCACTGATTTCCTAATTTTTTTTGCTTTACTGAAGAAACTGGCAGTTTTTTCACCCAACGGATTTTCAAATGTACGTCAATTCGGAGGCGTTTCTTATTGTAGGAAGCTGATATCTCTTCAGTGAGTTCTCCACGGATAAAGTGGTGGCTGTCAGGAATTATTGTGAGTACTCAAGTCCCATTCAGTTACACAACCCGTTGAGAGCGTTTAGGCTCTTTGTGTTGTCGCACATTTCTGTAAGCTTATTTCTCAGGCCGTGTTGAGTTTACTTAAATAGCTTCCTTCTCTAGGTTTTGGAATGGGTATGTCTAACATTAGATATGGCAGGGCTTACTTTTACTGATACTTTGGAATGCCGATAGAAACGGTCGTATGGTTGTAAGTTTCAAATCTTACCGATTACAAAAGCTATATAACTTACTTCTGTCAGCTTTTTAAAGAAGGATTTTGCCCGCCTGAAAGAAGCAAATGTGAGATTTCGAGCTCCCACTCCATGCCTTCCTTTTTTTTGACACGGGGCCTTAGTTCCAAAGCGTTCTGCCGTTCGCGATAACGGCGATCCTCTCAGATATTATGATCGCTGTGACGTTATGCCTCCTACTGGCAAGTAATCGTTCTGAATTCCAAGACACAAACAATATAATCAACCGCCTAATTATATACGCGATTAATCGCTGTATACTGACTTCGTTCGTATATTCTTTTCTAATTAGTCTTGTTAATTAACGCCATAGTCAGGGCTGTGGCGGTGGTCGAAGTGGTCATTGTGAGTCACCTGTAAGGTAATTTGCCGCTCATGCTGACGCTTTTAACAAAGTTTGTTGCGTTACCAAACTCGTTCTGGTCGTTCGCATTTGATTTTATCATTGGGAAATGTACGTCGTGTCAGCTAGTGCCGCGCATATCCGCTCGCTGACATTTTTTGAGTAGTATACGCCAATTCCTTACTAGCTTCCTTGAATTCCCGGAAATCACTGCGAGGCAAGGGTCAGAACACCACGTCGACGGAAGGGACTTCGACCAGTTTTAACCTTGCTTCCATGTCGGCTGACGGACCCACGAGCCTTGTACATGTGAGTAACACCAAACCCCGTGCATAATCCAATATCAACCTGCGCTGGTTCAGGTCCCGAGCCAGAGCGATGATGGAGAAACTGCTAATGTTATACGGCGCTTAAATGTATCGGACGGCAACGAGAGTAAACACATAATGGTGTGTGGTTCCTACTCTCCTTCATGTAATTATACACTAACGAATATCTCAGACGAGCAGTACGATGCATAAGAGTAGGAAGTCTTATCCATGTGTAAATTGATTAGTATAAATAAAAATAATGATAAGAAAACAATCCGTTAAGGGTGAATCATGTGGCAGTGTAAGCTCACTCCACCACCGACGTGACCAACACCCATGCTGTTGTCGACATCTTAGTTTCCCCGTTCATGTCCTCCACCCCTGCAAGGTTTCTTTTTGTTTTCATTCTTGCTATTCAATGTATTCTCTGGTCTCAAAGTCGCTATGCTCAATTTGAGGATCGAAGTTCAAGTGTTGGGGATAGTAGCCTCATGAAGCGCATATATTTCGAGGTGTCAAACTCTGGTTCCTCTCTCGTGGCCGCTCATCGTGAAAAGCAGGTATGTTACCTATTCTAAACGTCACTCGGTGATCTTACCCAGCCTCGCGCAGTGCCGGCCTCTAACATTACCAATGGCGAAGCAGTGTGCACATGTCGAGAAACAGTGCCCGACACCGAAGACGTTCCTCGGTGTCAATTACCTCCGCCGCTACTTCTGCACATCACCACCCTTGCGCCCGATAGCCTTCGTCTCCCTTATCCTATGGCTAATATTCTTATTTTCAACATTAGGTATTAGTGCGTCCGACTTTTTCACTCCGAACCTTGCGACCATCGCACAGCTACTTGGTTTGGACGAGAACGTCGCCGGGGTTACCTTTCTTGCATTTGGGAATGGCAGCCCAGATGTATTCTCGACATTTTCGGCGATGCGCGCTAATTCGGGGAGTTTGGCTATCGGCGAACTGCTGGGAGCTGCGTCGTTCATTGTGTCGTGCGTCGTGGGGTCCATGTGTATAATCAAACCATTCAAGGTCCATCGTGGTCCGTTTTTACGAGACGTTGGGTTCTTTGCGGTTGCTGTAGCACTTCTATTGGGGATTTTGTGGGATGGCTTGATTCATCCTTGGGAGGCTGGTGTGTTAGTTGTGCTTTATGTTTTCTATGTAGTTATTGTGGTGGTGGGGACGTGGTGGGAACGGAAGCAAGAAATCAGGCGACAAACAGAAGCGACCAGTCGAGCAGAGTACCAGGATGATGAGTTGCCTACATTCGAGGAGCCATATCGGGATGATAGTGAGCATAGGCATCATTTTATTTGATTCCTCATTTTTATTTGATGGTCTTGCAAAGTTAATTCACCATCTTCTATCCAAGGTAATATCAACCTGACCCCTTCCACACACCCTCAGCCGAGGCCGCGTGCAATTTCAACTCCTGTGCGCCCCCGCCTGCAAACAGAGCTCCCTCGTCGCCCATATTCGCGAAATCCTTCACCATCCCCTTCATCCGGAGCCCAAATACCTTCGTTTTCGCTCGTTGGCGCGCTGGAGTTCCGCCATGTTGTCGCCTCCTTGCAAAATCAGGCAGCCAGTTCTTCGCTCAGTATGTTTGAAAGCCCCGTGACGCCGTTTGCCGGAGGAAGGTACCATATGCACCCGGCTTCACGGCAGCGCACTCCTCGCTCATCGTTGAATGGCGATGAGGACCCATGGGACGCGGCACTTGCACTTGATGAGCGGCCTCAGCAGCCCCGACTGGTTGTCACATCATCCGTTACCTCTCCCATACACGAGGAACCACATCAAAACGGGAATTCTTTGATACAGTCCCCTACCAGTACTGCTGTCCCATCAATTTTCCGTACTCCTGCATCGCCTACAATATCCGACGGCGACACTGAATCTCAGAATTTTGTACCTTTAACCCGTCAGCAGCGGACACTGTCCGTCTTATTGCAGATTATACATACCCTATTTCCATCACTATGCCACTTCCGGAATCAAAGCATCTTGGGGCAGATCGCGTCCATCTTTGCAGCTCCTGCAATTTTATTATTGACATTAACTCTTCCCGTCGTCGTTACACCTTATCAGTCCTCGCAAGCAACCCAAGAGAAGATATACCAAGGAGACGGCCGCCTCGTGGAATTTGAGGAGGAGGGCGAAGCAAGGATACTGACAGCAGAGGAAGAGGTGTTGGAGGACATGCACGAAATGACATTCAACAAGTGGCTTACGGCAGTGCAATGTGCGCTGGCTCCCGTGTTTTGTGTTGGTGTTCTATTTAGTATGTTACATTGCAATCACCTTTGCGGCACCTTGACCTCGATTCTGTAGATGGTACTAAGCATGAAGTTGGCCTGCTGATTGCTGCAGCTGTGGCTGGTCTTGCGACTGCATTTCTAGTGGCCGTCTTCGCAGACAAAGGCAACCATCCTTCGGCACGTATGGCTCGGTGTTCTATGGGTTTCTTCGTTGCCATTGTGTGGATTATGGCCATTGCAGATGAGGTTGTAAATGTACTTCAAGTCAGTCTTCCCATCATTTGGACTCAGTCATACACTAAGCGGTTATCCACTAGACTTTTGGCTTCATTTTCGGACTATCTGATGCCATCATTGGCCTGACGATATTTGCCGTAGGTAACTCTTTAGCAGACCTTGTCGCCAATATGAGTGTTGCTGTAGGTTCTTCTCTTTCCTCACAACCAACAGCACTGACTTATTCTCCACAGGTCTTTGCACCCATCATGGGTTTCTCTGCATGCTTTGGTGGGCCTATGCTTAATATTCTTCTCGGGATCGGCATCTCGGGGACATATATCATCCAACAAACATCTGCGCCATATGAATTGCATTTTTCCACCACACTTTTCGTTAGCACGATCGGACTACTTATTCTCCTAGCAGCTACTTTGATTTATGTCCCCATGAGCGATTATTTCCTTTCAAGGCGCTGGGGGATATTTTTAATAGCTTCATATACCGCCCTCATGACTGTCAACGTTATTGTAGAACTTAGGAGCGAGGTTTGAAGAATGTATTTTTAATATATCTGGATTATAGAACACTTCGGTTTTCCACTGACTCGAGATGCCTCTAACGTCTGAACAAAATATGCAACGCTTGTTGTTACTATACTTGAGCGATTTGGTTCATGCTTTGGCCAAAAGTTTCTCCGACCTGCCTGGCTCGAACAGGCGACATCAAGATGATATGTTACCCATTACAGTCTTGCGCTCTTCCAACTGAGCTAAGGTCGGATACTGTGTAGAGTAGTTTCATTGGTCAGAATTCTCTCAGCTTTGATGCTAGGTCATTTTTTCTGAAAAGCAATGAGGTCAAAGCTGGTGGCATGAAACTTGGCTAAAAAAAAAAGAGATGGTAAATGAGACATTCAATACTTTGATAAAGTTGGAATAAGCTCAATTATAGTTAACAAGATCTTCAGGTGTTAAGCTTTTAAGGATGAGGCAAACATGAAGTCATTACGCAGTTAAAGTGACGTATTTCGCTTGCCGAAGGGTGATCAATACATAGTATGTTTCTTTTTTTCTCATCGGGTGAAGCCTACTAAACCATGTATGATCAAGATGAAAAAGGTAAGTCCGACCTGCCTGGCTCGAACAGGCGACATCAAGATGACATGTCCTATATCCATTACAGTCTTGCGCTCTTCCAACTGAGCTAAGGTCGGGCATTGAACAAATGGCTACACATGAACCCCTAATGCGATGGCGGCTTGGTTGTGTCATGTGTCTTTACCATACCTGTCTTATTTATTCCTCGAGACATATCGGAGCGGGGAACGATGAATAATTATCCAGGAGATACGTATGGGACTAATCTGGTAAATGCAAGATATCCGGGGATGAATTAACGAAATAAGATGGAATGTGTAGTAGTATGGCATAATGGTCGTCATGAAAAGTCGTGATGTTATATGGGGTAAATGAAGATATTGTAGGCTAGATCACATCACAACACACCACCTCCTCTTGGGCTCTGGTTCATCGTCATCATCATCTGAGTCGGTAGCGTGTCCAGTGGCCACAGATGTTGCAGATGCATCGTCGGGTGTATCAGAAACATCTCCAGCAAGGGGGACTGGGGAGATAATTTTTGACGGGGTAAATTCACCTTGAGCGATTTCCAATGACGTTCTTCCCTCATCTGCAACTTTCGAGGCTGTGGAGAACCAACCACCCGGGAAGAATCGTGAGGATGTAGTTGACTCAAGTCGAGAACGGCTACTCGGAGAAGACACTGTCTCGCTTGTTATGGGGCCAGCGTCCGTTCCTTCGACCTCGTCCACAGGCGCGAGACGTGAAACACTGAGTCTGGAAAGGCAGCGATGTCAGAATGATTTATGGATATACTCGGCAGTCTGAAACATACTTGGATAGTTTTGACTTTTGTTCAGTGGTTTCTACACTGGGGAAATATTCTTGTGCCGCCGCATCAACAATAGCAACATTGGCAACTGAGGTAGCATCTCTATCTGAGTGGATAGTTGCCTGGAGCTCTTGGAGTTCGCGCTCTAAAGCCATGGCTGGTGGTAGCTTGCTTTCTGCAGTGGTAGTAAGTGGACTGTTTGCAGACGAAACTCGCTCAGGTTCGGGAGCGATAGCTTCATTCTTGAGCTCGACATCATCTACATTCTTGGTAGTGTTTATGTCAAGAGCACGTTGAGGAAGGGGTTCAATGTTGTCGAGCTCCTCATCTCCTGGAGTGTCAGGTCCCTGCATTGTGACAGAATAACTCGGAGTCCATGGGCTCTTGGGGTGGTCCGGCAGGTTATCCACCAGGGTAAGAGATGTGGTTGGGGGAGTGTCCTCCTGCAATGATGGATTTAGTATGACGAGTTTTGAATCTATAACTAGTGTACTAACTTGAGCGTTGGCCTCGGCATCGCTAACTAAGACCATGAAACCTGAAGCTTTAACGTGTGCTGCTTCGGCGTATGTTTCATTTTCAAGATCTTTCACCTGTGTCTCATCCGCTGTCATTCCCTCGGTGGATTCTTGGGAGACATTATGTTGAACTGTAACCTCGGAGTGAGTTTCAGCCAGTGCTGAAGTAGGAGATGGGCTATCTTCTGGAGTCACTTCAATAGTAGAGGCGAGCTCTTCAACAAGAGGCGCATGTTCTTGAAGTGGGCTCCCTTGAGTACTGACGGAGTAGGATGCTACCCATGAAGGTGAGGCAGGGCGCTCCTGGGTTTGTTCGAGTTGCTGGGGCGTAAGATGTAACACGGATGATTCCTTGTCGGGGGGGTTATGAAGCTAATGGTAAGCATTATATTTTGGTTAAGGTTCAATATTGAGGGCACAAATACCTCAGTAACGTCGTCACCAGTATGTAGTACTAGTTGTGGGACTTGAACAACCTCTTCCACAGGGCTGGATTCTTCAATTGACACTTCTCCCATTTGGGTAGCTATATCTTTCTCAGCAGCGTCCAATACTGATCCTAGACCTCGGGTATCCTCCTCTGCATGAGATACTTCAACATCAACCTCTAAGTTCCTCGCCTGTATATCCATATCTTTGATAACCGTAGGAATGACCACAGGGGTAGTGGCAGCTTGATCTACGGGCGCGTCTTCATCTATTGGTGGAGGGGGGCTTGGTAAGGCTGATTTCTCTCCAGGAGCCTCAGTAACGGCAGGATCGCATTGTTGCAATACCTTGACGACCTCCTCACTTTTTTCGGCGGATGCAACTAGGATAGTGCCTTTCGAAGCCTCTTCATTGGCGGCAAATTCCATGTCCGGAAGTTCTGGCCCATCTTCTGTCTGTTCATGAGAATCGATAGAAGTGTTGATAGGTACATCTTGTTCAAGTTCGGTGGCTCCATGAAGAGGGCTTCCCTGGGAATGTACTGAGTAGGATGGTGTCCAAGGTCGTGCAATTTCGGCAGGCGGTGTGTCCAAAGTAGTGTTATCCGCGTCCGACTACGAGATCGATGAGATAATGTATCGTAAAAATTAGGATATTTTTATGTACCTGTGCAACACCAGAAGACAACGCGGAGTCCTCAACAACATCACCATTTTCTTCTACGGGCGTGACAACTTGGGGTACCTCCAAAATAGCCTCTACCACGGCGCCCTCGTGGACAGGAGCCTCCAGGATTGGTGCATCCTCAAACAGCTTAGTTTCGGGCGTTGGGGCCTCTTCATCTTCGTCCGACGAGGATACACCGCGACCCACCGTGGTGACTTGGAATGAGGGTGTCCATGGAGATTTGGGCCTTTCTATTTCTGTACCAGACGCTGGACTTAATAATTCATCATTTAGTGTTGTCAATTGTTCTGTAGGCTGAAAGGAAAAGAAAACATCAGTGACTGACAAACAAACAAGCGCTGTTGCAATAGACCTTCGTCCCTCCAGTGTGGGGCTGTCCCTCATCTTCAGCACCATCAAACTCAAGTTCGAGGTCTTTCGTTGTTGGAGGTTCGAAAATGTCATTAGTTGCAGGCCCGTCTCCAACAGCCGAGGCGCTGGTTGCCGGCGCGATCTCCTCGGTATTCTCTGCCTCCTCAGTAGTGGAAGACACGGTTGCTAATTCGACGTGCGACGAATATACCTGGTCATTGGTAACATGTGTCGAAGGTTGTTCAGGCGTGGATGCATTTTCTTCAGTAGCAGGAGCTTCTCCGAAGTTGACTTCTTGGACGGTTTCGACTTGCCCAGCCTCAATGCCGTTCTCGATGTGTTCGATTTCTTGAGGGGGAGCGTGTTCTGCTGTTAGCGAATGGTCTTCCTCCTGTGGTGTTGGTATGACAGTATCAGTTATATCCTCAGCGTGCGGCGCAATGTTGTGCTCATCCACATTAAGTTCTACAACGTCGGCACTGGGCTCCTGTCCAGGTTTATCTACTATTTCCTCGGAAGCAGATGTCTGGTCGACGACCAAGGCTTCTTCTGGCGCCGTGGCCGGAGTGATAACATCGATGGATTCTTGTACGACTGTCATTCTCGAAGGAAATAAGGTAGCCTCATCAACGATGTGTTGCTCATTTTTGGACAGCACGGGCAAGCTAGCCTCGGTAAGGTCGTCAGATTTTATTACGGTAGCTATTTCTCCAGGCGGCGCTGGCGATGTTTCGGAAGATAGGTTTGCGCCGAGGCCGTCCTCCAGCGTATCAGGAGCGGGGGCCTCATTATCGCTTCTGATTTCTACCTTCTCATCGAGTGCCTCTTGAGTGAGCTCCTTTTCAAGAACAATTACACCCTCGATATGAGCAGAGGCCGGAGGCTCTGCTCCTACGCGAACTTCAAGTAAAGCTTCCCCGGTTTCTTGTTGTGCGACTTCAGGAACCTCCTCAGAAACCTCGTCGATCGGCAGGGGGATGGTAGGATTATAGTTGATTTCTGGTGTTAACTCAGTTGTTTTCGCTTCCTCAATAGCGGTCTCAGCTGTGAGCGCTTCTTCATGGACTAAAATCATGTTGGGTTGCGTAACCATAGTCGGTAACTCATCCACGGTAGGATTAACTTCTTGAGGTTCCACTTCAACTTGAACATGTACAGTTTCAATCTCGACTTGTGGTTCTTGTTCCGATTTGGTGAGTGAATCTTCCAGCTGCCCAGGCCTATCCTCCGTAGGAGCATCAGTGATGGGTAAATGTGCCTCAATAACTGCCTCTTCAAAATCCGGTTTCTCCTCAACTGATGGTAGGTCCGTGGAAGTAGCCCCCGAAGTGACTGAGTTTGGTGCTTCGATACTCTCTGTGGAAGCCGTGGGGCTGGTGTCCTTGACAGGTGGTACCTGTTGACCAACATTGCTTTCGGTATCAAAGGGAATAGCAGATTGACCCTCTTCAGGTAATTCAATAGTATTTCCAGGGACTGCGGGCGGAAGTTCCTCCATAGTCATCTGGACGTCGGGGAGTGCTTCTGCCACCACAGGCTTGTGATCTTCGGTGGATTGTGCGTGAAAGGTAGCAACAGATTCATCAACTGGTGTCGGTAGTGCACTACTGGGCTCCAATTCATCTGTGTCTACCGGAGGTTCCTGATCGGAGACATTTGACCTTTCATGTAATATCTCTTTGTGGTCAACCACTGGTACCCCAACGGGTTCGCTGGCGAGGGACTGTAGGTTGTTATCTATAGTCAATTCGAGTTCGCTATGGGTGACAGGAATAGCGTCCTTCTCGGTATTGTCCTTTCCTCCCTCTGCAGCGTCAGCGTTTACAATTACTGCTTCTGGTTGTTCCTCGGTGGCCGCAGTGACTTCCTCATTCGTAAATTCCTCAAGGGTAACATGTTCCTTTGAGGCCGAAGGCCCATCCACAAAGACAGTGGTTACGGCATCCCTGGTCTCCTCTGCAGCCGCCTCTTCATTGTGCTCTACGACGACAGCTTCCCCAATCTGTGACGGGACATCCTCGACTTCAGCCTTAATTAACGGATCCCCCTTCACCATATCCTCTTCGACATTTTGGAGTGAGGTTTCGATTGGTTTCTCGCCAATAATAGTTTCAGACTGAGCTGGGGATGGAGACGCGGCTTCAGTCTCGTCCTCTTGAGCAAGAGGAGGGGAAGTAATTTCAAACACAGCTTGACCCGATTCGGTAGTCGAAACCACTGCATTCACATCTGCAACATCGGCCTCTGTAGCTGGAGTTTTCACTTCGGAGGTAGATGGTTGTGCGACGGTTGAAACTTCTTCAACTAGTGCATTCTC